CCAAGATCGCTCGTATCCCTTCGTCGGGTTTATTTGCAAAAGAGCCCCTGCAGTTTCGCGTAATATAACCCGCAGTCCATGGCGCACTTCCAGAATACGTTTGCTTATTCCGAAAGCGTAGTTTCTTTCTAGTAGATTCAGAATACGTTTTCTCTTTCAGAAAGCTTAAAATCCCTCTGTTAGATTCAAAATACGTTTTCTTCTTTTGAAAACATAGTTTCTTCAGTTAGATTCAAAATATGCTTTCATCTATTTACAATTTTGCCACTAGTCTTATTTAGGCCATAAAATCTTTGTTTTAATTCCATTTTGATCCATTCAAGTTGCGTTAGATTCGTAATTGAGTAATCTACATATTCATCCTACTGTTAAATATATTTTAAACTTTTGAAATTCAAGGTTAGATTTAATCTATTATTTTATTAAAGGAAATCTTGTTTAATTCATAACTTTTTCGTTATAGCTCCGATTAGAGTGATTTTCGCGTCTGTGTGTTCTTAGTGAGACGTAGATTTATTTTACAAACTTTTTATTTTGATTTTATGTTTGGTGTACTATTCTAATTTAGATCTATTGTTTGCTTCGTGTATGATTGCATAGATGCTTGTGTGGTGCTTTATGATCATGTCCGATCGGTGAGCTTTGCGTTGGTGATATAAAAGAAGTTGGTGATCTAGAAAAAGTCCTTTGGAGGTTATAATTCAATAGAAGAAGGATTTGAGTTTAAGGCAAGTATAGCATGGGATCTTCCTTGTTGTCCTATACACCTTTAATCATTTAATTTATACTGCATGTGTCTACCTTGACTGCCACTAAAGATTTCCTAGTGCTTTGTTACCTTGTGCCTTGTTACCTATGGGATATTGCATTGGGTAGTATGTTGCTAGTGCTCAAGTAAAGACCATGATCTTGTAACTTAACTAATGGTATATGCAATAAACAGTAAAAGATGCTTTTTAGCAATATGGAATCAGGAGGCTAGAGCATTGGGTTGTTTTTATGGTGCTCCTCTCCCTAAGGACTTATCTATAAGCGAACATCCGGGACTTACAGTACAGCTATGAGGGCTATATGGCTCTAGCTTTAGCTCAGTATGAGGACCCTTTTGTAGCGTGTTAGTGGTTACCTTTATTGGCGTAAGAATGGCTTACCGAATTAGGTATAGAACAGCCTCTATCCCCTTGTGTATAGGCTACGTGTCATTGTGTCATTGGGAAGGGGGGTTCCTACATCTGTTTGCCGAGTGAATCTAATGGCCCTAACTTGTTAGACGAACCTTTGAAAGGCTTCATACTGAACCCTGCCGACCTTCCTTAGAAGTGGGTCAAGAGATTAGCTACCTCAAGCGAAAGGGTAAATCATGACTCACAGTAAAAGTGTACAACCTCTACAGAGTGTAAAACTAGTATATCAGCCGTGCTTACGGTCACGAGCGGCCTTGGACCCTTACGGAATAGATGATGAACACTGATGATAAAGATGATCATTAATGGTTAATTGTTTATGCTATTCATTATTCATGCTTACCTGATCATATGTTTATATGGGCTTGTGATAAACTTGTTGCTACTCCTATGCTAAAATTGTGTCAATTAAAAGCTAATCGTAGTTAAACCAGTGTCAGCCTTTTGACCCTCATGAACCCCATGTTATATTTGTTCAGTACGACATGTACTTACGCTTGCTTTACTTTTTAAATCTTTGGAAAAATCCTAGATAGGTACCAGATTGCTAGAGTTTGGAGGAATTAGGATTGTGATCAACTAATCACATGTCCCTGTGGAATTGGAGTCTTCATCCGAAGATCGGAGTTATCTTTCTGCTGTTTGCTATCTAAGGTTATATCCTTTATATTAAGTACGTTATATATTTAGCATTGTATTTTGATTTTACCCTTATCTGTAGCTATATGTGATATTTGACTTTCTGGGCTCACATATGGTGCATATATGGTTTTGTTCTTAAAACCGGGTGCTACAGTTTCTCATTCAAGCACGCTCAATTCTAGGAGCGACCCGTTCCATCCTCTTCCATCCTTGAAACCAAACACATGTTATAAAAATATTGCACTTTTATTTTTAGTGTAGTTCACAGCATTTTGTCGATACTACTTTCCTATAGAACATCCTAAGCAACTCCAGCAATGGTTATCAGATCAGGGCCCCTACATTTGATGTAAGGACTCTCTTACTCTTAAGATCTCAGTTTTCTAGGCTCAACTCTATTATGGGTGCACAAATCAATCCCCCTACTTTCTTACGGCATGAAAGACATGTCCTTCATTAACATAGATTTTTCAATTTTTTATTTACTTTCCTTTCTCCTTCCACACCCCGTTTTAGGGTAGGGGTGGATGGGTGTAGGCGACATGTCATGGAGGCCGGCTTCGAGGTAGTGGTGGGCAACCATAGCCAATGTGGTGGAGGTTGGGGTCAGGGTTGAGGCGGTCGAGCGTAGATACAGTTACGGTGGCTGTGGTCAAGCTCAATGCTGGCCACTACTCGAGGTTTGGGTAGGGGCAACCGAAGCTCAACCTATGCTTGGGAAAGAACACAAGAAGGGCTGGCTAAAGGTCAAGGTTGCGGTTGGCGGTGGTAGAGACTAGGCAGAACTAGGGTTCTATTTAGGCACCCAAATCCATCTAGGAAACTTGGCGAATGGGCTTGGGGGTTTAGGGGATGTGATCCCAAGCGACAGGGAGGGCAGGTTTTGGTGGCAGGATTTGGAGGTGGCAGTGGAGGAGTGGACTAGGAGGGAGCATGGGCGAGATACAAGCATGTGTAAGGACCTAATGACCCCAAGAGTGGGGTGAATTGGGATTATAGAAATTTAATTTCCAACAACCATAGCCTTTGCAATTCTATCATCACACCCCACTTGCGGATGCCTAAGGACTAAAAGATTCACACTTACATCAAGTGATTCAAGTCCTTAGGGCTATCACATTAAACATTAGTTAATATATTGTCCTTAGTTGTTGAACTTAGCCCTATAGCGAAGCATACTACTAGTATGCAATCCTAGTTGTCACACATAAGGTTCTTGCGCACAAACTAGCACTAACACATAAGTTAGAAAATTTAAGTAATGCAAGACATAGGGCAAGGCAAAGAGACAACCAAATGTATCACGTGCTTGCAAAATGCAACCCCTAGTCCACATTGGAGCTCCATTGAGGCACACTCCTGAACACCAAGCTCTATCTCTCAATCACGGTGTTTGCTCAACCAACCAAAGGCAATGGAGGAAGAACTCACTGCCATCGCATCCTTGCCGCTACTACCAGAAATTTGGACCCCTCACCACTGTCATTGCGCCCTTTGATCTTCATAGCCACTTAGGCAGCACAGTGCCCTTGCGCTCTTCCACTGTCACCACTCTCGACACCTGGCGGGAGGACAAGGGATGCGGAGAGAGAGGAAGTTGGCGTGCACAGAAGAAACTACTAGCCATCTCCCGCGTGTCGTAGCAAGATCCTATGAGCATCACTCCAGGACACCGATCTATACAATGTCGCTGCTTCCACCGGTGTTTTCACCTGGGAGCACACGTGCCTCTCTATTCCTTGAATGCTTTTATGGAGGATTTTTTTTTTGTTGCAAAAATGACAAATACACAGACGGCAACAAACAGTATTTGAGAGTATGTTGTATGTGCCCTAAGCCTCCACCGTGGCAAAAAAAAAAGATAAGCAAAACGCCGGTGAAGTAGGCCTCAGTTTTCCTTTTTATTTTTGTGTTGCTCCTTCATTTATATCCCTTTTATTAGGGCGATGGATGTGCATGATGTTATTAACTTCCATCAACTACGGTACATTGTTCTAACTTTTTTTTTCTTTGGTTGCAATGAACGAGCCATGGTAAATATACATACAGGCCAAACTATTCACGAGTTTGGTGCTCCAAGAAAGCAACGCGGGATCTATCCATAATCTTCCAAATTTTAAATATTTATTATAATTACAATTAAATAAAGAACAAAAAGTTTATTCGTTCTTAATTGCTCATAGTCGTTTGACGGATTCAATATCTCTGGTGCTTACATTAGATTAGAAGTAGAGTGCCAAGCATGTTAACGCTACAGAGTTCGAATTCAAAACAAATAAGAATTTGAATTATTTCCATAGTAGTTAAGTGTCTAGGCATCGTGCAAAGTCCTATCCTAAAATGAATTGGGATTCATGATATGATATGATTATTGACAAATCCCTAAACATTGCATACTCATATGAGTTAGAGCATCACACGGACAGACACAATACTGAGTTTGATTCACAGACGAATTTAAACGCATCACGTGATCACTAAAGTCTCACGTCATATAGGTAACCACGCAACAATCTGAACATCATGTTGCAATGCATGGATATGTTTACTACTCCATCCATTCTAATTATAAGTCGTTTTGATTTTTTGGTTCATCCATTTTACTATGTATCAAGCATATTATTACATCTATATACATAACAAAATGGATGTACCAAAAAAGTCAAATCGACTTATAATTTAGAACATAGAGAGTAGTTGTTTATGGTAAGGAAAGCAACCAACTATAAAATATGTAATCATATTTATTTGAAATATATATACACAAATAAATGTAGAATCGGATTTATTTGAAACCGGCATTGGCATGTAAGGTTGGTGTTGTATCAGCCCACAGGCCAGTTCGGTTTTTTGTTTTGTTTTGAGAAATGCCCACAGGCCAGTTCATGTTATGGACCGGGGAGCCCTGCGCTGCCGATGGAGGCCCACCAAAGCCCACTCGGATGCCGCAACCGGGCCAGAAACGGGACGGAACGGACTCGGTGTCTATGTCCTCGTCTGCCCCGCTCCCGAGTCCCGATCCGGCTCGCCTTCCCTCCTCTGCCTCCCCTGATCCGAGGCCGCCATTAATACCAACCGCCACCACCTCGCCTCGCCACCAAGAAACGCAATCCAATCCCGCGACGAGAAGATCAAACCCTCTCATTGATCGGTCGATTCGTCATCGGCTTCAACATGTCCGGAGACATGGCGGTGCAGGCGGGCGGAGACGCGCAGCAGAAGCAGCAGCAGGACGTCGGCGGGAACCGGATTCAGGTGTCCAGCTCCAAGAAGCCGCTATTCTTCTACGTCAATCTCGCCAAGGTATCGATCCGTCGATCCATCTCTCGGCTCTGGCTTCTCGCTGCGCGCCTGCGCCCATCCTCTGCAATGGCGGTGGTTTCTTGGCTGGTGCTAATTCTCGTTGGCTTATGTTTTGTGCAGAGGTACATGCAGCAGCACGGCGACGTCGAGCTCTCCGCGCTCGGGCTGGGTGAGTCCCCTTCTTGTTCTCATCCTCTCTCTTGCGTCTTTTTAATTTCATCTGCAAATCAGATCTTTCACAATTTTGTGTCTGGTCGTAATGTCTGTTGAAACTCCTTTGTCCCTGGCACTCAACGTGTTCGGGTCCCATGATAATCTGTCACCTGTTATTGTTATTGTAAGCTTTAGCTAAGGACGAAAAAATTGTTGGCCAATGTACTATCATATTAGTGTAGATATGTTGAACAATTCATCCCCTGTTCCATGTTCATAAACATTGGAAAAGGCTTTAGGTGTATCTTTCCTAAACAATACGAGGCTGGAGTTCACACTGATTTTTTTTCAGTAGTTGACCTATAATTCTATTTCTAAATAAATTTAGCACCTAACAGAGCCTGTTTAATTTGCTTGCAGCCATATCAACGGTTGTCACCATTGCAGAGATCCTGAAGAACAATGGTCTTGCTGTCGAGAAGAGTAAGAACTTGCCTTTCGTCATTATCAAACAACATGCATGTAGTTACATTGTGATAAGTTAATCTGCAGCCGTTGTTGGGGTATGCTCTGAACTCATCTTATTTACCCCTTTAACATGTGCAGGGATTAGAACATCTACAGTTGAAATCATTGACGAAACGAAAGCCCGACCAATCCAAAAGGCTAAGGTTAGAAATCAGATCTACACCGCTGTACATTTTCTTCCTTCTTCCAATTTGTTTATCTTCATGTGGCACTCTTGTGTCGGAAAATATTGACCCTGAGCCCTGTCTGCAGATTGAGATAGTACTGGGAAAGACTGATAAATTTGATGAATTGATGGTGGCCAATGCTGGAGATGCAAACGCAGGAGATGGCGAGGAACAGACCTAGAAAGTTTAGAGACCTGTTATTGCTATTCCTTCCTGTGATCTCCCTTTTCCTCTCCTTTGTTAGCTCTGGTTAAACCGGGTGATGCTGATGCATTAAGATGAAATATGTTTAGATGTTTTATTCATATTCACTTGTTGAGTGCGGCGTTCATAGAACATACATTTGATTTGTCTCATTTGTTAACTGAGTAGTGTCTAATGTGCAATCGTTTTGTTCCTTTCAAAATGTGCAATCGTTTTCTCTATTTTGGTGGCGTTAATGATTAGTTGTGGCATCATAGACCAACATATGTACCACTGTTTTATACAGTGCTGAATTGAGACTAGAGAAACCAGAACACAGTCTAGGGAAACTTCATGCACTCATACAGGTGCATACAGAACCAAATCAGTTCCAGCTTCGCCACTTGTGAATTATGATTGCCTATGGCATCTGAACGTTTCCATACTTATTTGTAATGAGTTTCGAAAGACATGCTTTCAACACAAGTGGTACCCAAAAGTAAATCTGGAAAAAAGGGGTGAGTTTATCAGATCAAACTGAGTGCAAAAACGGGTTAAGAACTTATGCTGACTGCAGCAGTAACCTCAGTCCTGAGCTTCAACCAGCTCCAGCACCAGTCGATTCAAAGAAATACCGAAAGCTGCCTGCTGTCAGGATGTCGCAAAACTGAGCTCTAATGAGGTAATGCATCCGCACACACTTCACTCGTCCTCTTCTTCGATCAGAATCTTCTTGCAAGCCTCGTAGCACATAAACGAAATCCCAGCAGCTGGCATCAACTTCATGCAGCTTGGCCCCAACCCTCTGTACAGGCCCCCAACCCCTTCATCCTCAAGAATGCTCAGGAGGGCATGGAGCATGTTCTTGTAAACCTTCTTGCCACCAACAGCTCCAACTTGCATGTGCTTCCGTGCGACCTCAAGAGGGAATGTCGCTGTGCTTGAGATAGCTCCTGCAGCAGACCCGATGAGCAGTGTTGGAATGTTGTCAATCTCATTTGTCTTGAACACCTTCTTGTACACCTTCTTCAGGGTGTCATAGGCGAAGTAGTTGGTTGCAGCATATGGCACCACTCCAATCAGACTTGGGGTTAAGCCTCGGTAGAGTTCAGTAGGCCCTTCATCGCGGACGATTTTGACAAATGCGTCAAGGAAGTTGTCATACACACCTCTCTGCAGAATTAGAGAGCAACCATTACAGCCTCTCATGTTTTGCACTTTAGTATGAAGGTCCGCTCATTCCATTAGATTTAGGGAAGGTATGAGGTATGCCTTGTGGTTAGTACTAACCTGTATAGTTAACCGTGTCTTAATCAATTCCAGAGGGTATGTACACAGTGTTGAGCTAACACCGGCAAATGCTCCAGCCACTAGTGAAGGAGGGACTGGGATCTTCCGTTCCTCCCCGGATTTGGGGGTCAAGAACTTATTAGCTGTATCAAAGGCAAAAAGCTGCAAAAAAATAAGTAAAAACAAACAATCAGATACTTTGAGGATGTACATATACATGTCTATGCCATAAGCATCATTAATATATCGTCATTTTACGTGACTAAATTATTACCAGAATCACAATGCATCTAATGATATCTATGTATGAAGCCATTAAGCCTATCCAAGATGTGCAGGTACTAAATGTAACTAGAAAATGCAGCATAAGCCCAGCCATACTGCTGAGAGAGTATTGTTGCGTGCAATTGTGTACTGCTCAGTTGCAGTTCACTACTAAGCCAGCAAGCCACCCAGTCTTACAATATAGGAGCTTAATCTTCTAATATTCACTAAGGGATAATAAAAGGTATAGATCATTACCCAACTCAAGATTTAAGGTCCAAACCTTGGTTTCTTTCAATAAGCAATTCTGAGTATTAAATTTCTCAAAAGACTAGTATGGTTACAAGAAGCTAGCTCTTCTATCTTGAGCAAAGAAACAGTAATTAGTTAAGTGTTTAAACTTTAAAGTCCTTGAATTTGTGCATTCAACAGCTCTATGACGCCAGTTATTTACCAGACCACGCAGACACCCAGCAACAGCCCTAGGGTGCAAGATTAACCCAATTACCTATATGACCTAGCTCAGGAGTCAGGAGAAACAAGGAAAAACTATGTTTGAATTAACTCTGGTTCTAAGTACTCCCACCATTCCAAATTGCAAGCCATTCTAGCTTTTCTAGGTGCATTGCTTTTGCTACACACCTAGATATACACAATATCTAGATATACATATTAAAAGCAACGTATCTAAACAAAGCCAGAACTACTTACAATTTGGAATAGAGGGAGTACTTAACTGTAAGAGTTTCACTAAGATAAACCAATAACAAAAAGGTAGATTTTTCTTGATAGGTCGTGGTAATGAAAAAACTAAGCTGGCTTAGCAGCTACTCCCCAGTGCTTAGAAGAATCTCAGAATCATAGAAATCTGAAGTATTGTACTGCAGCATGGCGCTTTGTTATACTTTCTTGTGCTTTTGCTTGTAAGCTTGCAACCCCAGCATGGATGATGTAACAAACTTATTGCTTCCTTAAAAATTGAGGGAAACTCCTTTTTAAAAAAAATAACAGAGAGAAAACTCTCGGTGTTAGCTTCTCCTGTTGATGGGGCTTAACTTAAGATCCAAACATTACCAAAAGCAAGCAAGTTCGTTGTGCTCTGGATGACCAACTTAAGCATATATTGCTCTATATATGTGTGCTGTGCCCAAGGATAGAAAACCCAAATTATGTAGCATTGCCGACGAGGAAATATTGCAACAAATTAACACTAGATATAACCACCAACGAAATGTTCAGTTTATTTGCAAGGAGGTAGTATATATTCTGAAAAATAAATATGCAGCCAAGGGTTGATTTCCACATTGGTGAGGAATAATTGTGCCTACTGTAAATACATTGCAAAGAAAGCACAGTAAAAAAAAACAGATGTGGATAAGCTATTTACCTCAATTGCCTTGCTTGGGGCTACCCGGATGACATTAACAAAGTTACCACGGAACAAGCCAGTCCATCCCTCATGCTTCATGATAGACTGGAACACTTCCGTCGTCGAATTCCCATTACTCCCAACCATCAAATGCGTCCTGATCGTCTCCAAAGGCGCAACAACAGTTCTTGACACTGTGCCTGCGATTGCCCCACTGATGAGCCTCTTGAAGTGATGATTCCCAACCTTAATCTTGAGCTTCACGACTTTCTGCTTCTTCCCCTTGTCCTTCAACGCCACCACACCTTCCCCAGGCAGAGGTGTCTCAACAACCTCCGGCGGCGAGACGTACTTCATGTACGGGTCCCGTGGTGTCTCCGGCGACGGGGACCTAGACGAAGCCCCCGGGAAGCCAACCCCAACCTGCTGGCCCATGCTGGCGAAGAGGCCGGCGGGCGGGTGGAAGGACTGGTGGAGGTTCCACGAGAGGTTGAACCCACCATCGCCATCCGCACCGGATGCTGCTGCTGCTGCTGCCGGTGGAAGGGCCAGGAAGCAGCAGCTCCAATCCGTCGCCCGTTTGGCCTCGGCGCATTGCAGTCGCGCGCCGCCGCTCTTCCTCCTGCCCATTGGCTCGGCCTGTTTTCTTGAATCGACAGGATGGTGTTCTCTGCCCCCTCCAAACTCCAAAGCACAGGCGGAGAAACTACTAGTGCTGCAAAAGTGGAGGTGACGGCAATGGATTCAAAAGGTGTGGCGTGGAAACGAAGCGGAAACAGGCATCTTGGGGCAGGAAAAAAGGTGCTATTTTTCAGCGGCTCGGCTCCCGTCCGAATCCACTCCCCACCAGTAGCGCGGAAAAGGATCGATTTCTAGGTTGGAACCCCACGCCCAATGAACAGGAAGGAATGGCGATACAATTGGTAAAGAATCAATCTGCAACCAGAGGAAAGGGAAAGGAATTAAAGAAATTTGGGTAGGGGATTATTACCCTATATAATAAAGATTGGGAATCGACCACTACTCTTCCTCCTCGTTTACCTCGCCTTGCGTTTCTTGGCCGCCGCCGCCGCCACCACCGCCAGGAGAAGGAATGCGGGAGCGGCGGGTCAGGTAGGGAGTCAAAACCGGCAGCATCACCACGACGCACTTTTGTTGCTTTTTTTCTTGAACTACTTCCTCCGTCCAAACAAAAAAAAAGTCCACGTTCAAAGCTCGAATTGTATTTTTTTCTGGCGGAGAGTAACTGGTTTTCTTTACTTGAGCAGTGACTAGTGTACTAGGCGTAGTACTGTTCTGTGCTCCATCCACAAGAAGTCAAGAACAGCACTGCAACTGTAAAGAAAAAATCATTTGTAGGTTAACTCCGAGGAGCTGACTATGCTATTTATATGTAGTGTAGTATATCTTTGCTTGGATCTTGGATGATGATGATATACCGAGGGATTCGACTGTCGAGCGACGAAGCCACGCAACATTTGGTCAGGTGGTACAATGGTAGGTGAGTGGAGCAATAAGAAGAGGAAGTGTAGATAGCCTTCGTTCGAGCTTATCAGTTAGAATGAGTCCTACTGGTTAAGCTATGAAATAATATTTTTTTATCATAATAAATTAGCCATACAAATCAGCCACGACAGCAATAAGTCATGTCGAACAGGGCCATAATCCAGAGTGAAATAGTGAAGCCTATAAACGACCTCAAATTTAGGCTATATTTTCGACACTTTTTGTCACAAGTATGCTTAAAAATGCCATAATCATGTTTAAAGTTTGGTGAGCAAAATGAGCATCATAAATTTGGCACGTTATGGATTGGCAAGATGTGGTTGCAACATTGAACCCAACGCCTACCTAACATGTGGTTACCGATCAAACGTTCTAGAATTCGCAAACTCTCAAATATTCCTCCGTTTGAAATTGTACGTGTACAAAACATTTTACTACGTATCTAGATACAACGTATATCTAGTTGCATATTACAAACTAAAAACTTTACTACATATCTAGATACGATACAACATATATCTAGTTGCATATTATAAACTATCTATCTAAAAAGTCAAAATAATTTACAGCTTGGAACAAATGTAGTATATTGTTAAGCACTTAATCCATGTTTGCTTTACTTCTAATAGTTGCAGATCCAGAGCTTTTTAGGAGCACGAGCGGTTTAGTGGGTTACGTAGTTGAGTAGGCCTAATCACTTTTATACATGGGCCACACTAGTGAAATATAGTGGAGTTCAACAGCAACGAGCCCGGGAGGAGGCTCAAGGTCAACGGGCCCTGGGTCTGCCAGTGCTTCCTGACATTGACAAACTGCTAGTGAAGGACGCCAATTGCTTGGCGGGCGATTGAAAAAAAAATGTTTGTGGTACCAATGAACTAGAGAAACAAGTAAGCTTGTGCGAACGCCGGATTTGCAAGTGAGGCAGCCAAATCTCTAGTCACCAGGCAAACAACAGGCTAAGCTTGTTTGACATACCGGACTTGCGGCATGGCAAACTTCACAAAAGCCATCAAAACATGTCCTAAGTCTGTTTCCTATAGTATGCTATATGCTATAACATAGAGACATTTAGCATATCTTCTCATTAAGTGCCTGTTTGGCACAACTCCAGCTTTTGGTGTTCCTCTAAGATGAAGAAGGCACAAATTACAATTCCTAGTCCAATCATAGTCTAATTAGGCTTAAAAGATTCGTCTCGTGAATTTCGTCTAAACTGTATAATTAGTTTTATTTTTTATTTATATTTAATGCTTCATGCATGCGTCCAAAGATTCGATGTAACGACGAATCTTGAAAAATTTTGCTAAAATTTTGGGAACTAAACAGACACTCATTTAGATTATGTTTGGCATAACTCCTACTTCAGATGTTCCTCTAGAGAAACAAAAAGCCAGATGAAGGAGCCACAAAATTGCAATTCCTCCTCCGCACACATAAAAAAGTTCTAACTCCTCTTCTGGACATCAAAGAAGCCTTTTTTTCTCTTAGAGTGTTTGATACGACTCTTTCTGTCGACACCACTATCGAAATCGGAGCCGTGCCAAGACGTTAGACCTTTGTTCTGTTGTAAAGGCCGAAAGAGGTGTACAGCAAGAGCGAAGGACAGAAGACACAAGATATATAATCTATATCAGCTTTACGGTTGCACCACATCGACAATTGGAGCGGTTAAATAGGTTTTGGAATCAAAATCAAGTTTAATTGCTTGACCATGTATCTTAAGAGTTTAATGATCTAGATGAAAACTCAGCGCGAGCTAGTTTAATGACATTTGATAGAATTTACCGTCCAATTGCGTAAATCTTATAATACGAAGAAATACAAAAAGCAAACGCTGCAATATACATTTTTTAATAATATAAAAGAATCATATTAATATGTAAAAGGGCCGTGGATAATACTGCTCCTGTGGACACACACGCCACGTGTTGGCCGGTGGTGTGTGGCGTGGACGCTAGTTGTGACATTCCACCGTGATGTCAATTTCGGTAGATGTCAATTTCGTTCGTCTCCTCGCGTGGTTTGAATCAGCGGATGTCGCACTCCAACGGTTGGAGGGTTTCCGTGCGTCAAATAAACATCACGTGGCACGAGCACCAGGGCTGGACGTTTGGAGCAACCAAGGAATTTGGAACGGGCGTCTGCTACGTGTACCCTTGTGTCTCCCGTGCAGTCACTAGAGTACTTCAATGTTCAGTACCAAAAAATCACATACTCGATCGAGCATGGCCGAAAGCTAATCGCGACAGATTTTTGTTGCCAAAGCTATTTGGATGCTTCATCGTGTTCTCATGAGACCTGGCTGCAGCGAGAGTCGGTGCTAACCACCTAGACGGGCCCGCTGTTGGACCACACTACCACAGAGAAAAGCGCTTGGTAGAGATTAGAGCCGGCGGCCCACACTCAGGCCCCACGGCACGAGGCCCAGGCGTGCTTCCTCTTTTTAGTTTTTCTTTCTTTCTTTTTTATTATCCCTTTTTATTTTCTGCTTTTTGTGGATTTTCTTCTTTTGATTTCCTTTTATTTTTTTTATATTTCTATTCTGTTTTCATTTTTCTCTAGTCAGTTGTTTTTATTTTCATGTTTTACTTTTTTATGTCCAGAATTTCATGAGATGTAATTGTAGTATTGTGGTATCTTTGAGATGTTTTAGTGGTTTATTTTGATCTGCTCATATAGTGTGTGTGTGTGTGTGTGTGTGTGTGTGTGTGTGTGTGTGTGTGTATATATATTATTCTATGATGTATTTTAGTTATGCACATTGTATCTATGAGACTATGACATGTTTCATGTTGCATTCTAGGTTGTTCACATAGTATACGTGCATGTTCTATGATGTATCTTTGATTACTCACGTAGCACCAATGAGATGTCTATGGTATATTTTAGATTGTTCAAATAGTATCCATGTGAAGTTCTTTTTTCACTTTTCTCTGTTATGTAGATTTTACTCTATTTGTCCTTTTTATTCCTTTTTTCCTTTCTTTATATTTTGCTCTATTTTTTTATTAATTCTGTTTATACATCGTAGATGCTCCACTGCCCCCTTAATTAGCTAATAAATGATGGAATTATTAATTAGTGCTTTATTTGTTTATATCTTTATGTTAATTCTTGATGACATCTTTATGATTTATGACCAATATTCATATTATTTTCCCTCTACTTTGTTCTTGCTGTTATTGTGGTGGTTTTTTTATATCTAAATGTTACTCTAGTTGGTTTGTACAACATATGCCCAATTAGTTAGTTAATTATGTTAAGGAAAAAGTCTATTTTTGGCCCTCCAACTATGGCAGCAATTTGGTTTTAGCCCTCCAACTCCAAAACCAGACAACCGCAGTCTATCAACTCTGTAAACCAGATAGAAATGGCCCTTGCGCCGGCGCGTCGGCGGTTTCCGCCCGGTCAACCCGCGACGACCGCGTTATTGGGCCTTTTTCCTTCTCTCGCGGCCCACTTACTCGCGCTCTCTCCTCTCACTCTCTTCCGTTCGTTCCCCAACCCCGAACCCTAACTCCCGACGGCGACGACGGAGGGTGCTGGTGCGGGTGCGGATCGACAGCTCCAAACATTCCTCGCGTGGGGACCCGTTCCAGTCGCCGACCTGCTGCTGTGGAGGTGGACGAACGCCTCAGCGACGGGCGTTGTGGGCGCCACCGTGGTCTAGTTCATCTTCGAGCGCGCGGGCTACAGCTTCCCCTCCTGTCCAACGCCTTGCTCCTCCTCGTCGCCATCGTCTTCTTCTGGGCCAAGTGTGCATCGCTGCTCAACAGGTATGGTCATCGTTCTTAGGAATTCCTCGTTCATATTCTGCTTCGGCAACTCGTAGCACTAAGTCATTGTGTATGATATGTTAACTTGATAGGGATTGGTTTGGTCTTCATTTTGCAATGTCTCTAATTGATATTTAGATTTTTTTTGTGATTTTACGTGATATTTTGTGATCAGCAATGTACAGTGTACTTGCATTGTTACTAGGCTACATGTTGTCCATTCAGAGTGGTAGTCTGAAAGTTTTTTTTGGTTCCTATTGCATGTAGTGTAGGACATTTTATGCGCCATAGACCCTCTGGAAACTCTTCCTATTCGGTTTCATTATGGAGGAGAATTCTTGAGAA